AACAGAATTATGAAGTTTCTAAAACAATACAAATCTGGCCCACTCCACAAAATGTTTGTTAACCCTTGATCTCTGGTTTGTATTACAGATTGATTATTTAATAAACTTGAAAGACTTGAGAGAGAGAGAGAGAGAGAGAGAATATATATATTTTTTAGAATGCAGAGTGAGGATTTGTGGTAGGATGAGAAAAGCCCAGCAGCAAGAAACATGCACAACCCTGACAACAGACATAGATTATGGAGTAGAAGAAAGTAATGTTTGGCACAGACAGGACAGGAATGAAAATATTGATAAATGGAAGTAAAAAGATGCTATATTTTGATTGGATGTAAATCATAATTTCTTTTTATTTCTTCTTGTACTGATGAAAACAAATTCTTAATTCTTTAAATGTCACAAAGTCATTTCAATCGAACTAGAAAATTTAAGTATAAAAGAAACCTTTTCTAAATCACAAATAGGAAACCAAATTACCTATTTTGAAAGTTTTTTAATATTAGTACAAATTGTGGACAGGATTTTTTTTTGAGTTTATAAACTGTTTAGAGAGAATATCTTAATCAGGCAACAAATTTGAAACTTTAATGACATTTTTTAAAATTGACTGAGTAGTCGAGATATATGCTATGGTTTATGATATTACTATATTTGATTAATTTGAATCATTTATCTTAAATAGGTTCTTTTTGTATGTAAAATAAAATGAATAAATTTAAAATAGGTTTAGAGACACATTTTTACATTTAATAAGAAATTGGAAGTTTTCTTAAATTCTGCTCAGGCAGAAGTTGGAAGAGAGAGAGAGAGAGAGAGAGAGAGAGTGAGCTCTTCAACTTATAAAGCTGAGAATTTTGATTTGTGTGTCCACTGTAGCACAATCAATGTACAAATACATCATTCAGCTTTTTCATTCCAGACTATTTAATATTATAAATAAATTGGTTGGCAGACATTTGTCAAACATGTTTATCCAGTCTGGAACTTACAAAAACATTTTTCCTACAGTTTTAATTGCTGGATTAAATGACAATCACTAAGAAACTGAAATTTAAAAAAAAATTCAAGAAGTTTGTGATTTGATGAATTATGACCGGATGCAAGATTAGTAAAGATGAGAAAAAGCATGTTAAACATTGTTTGCAATGTGAATTCTTTTTTTCAAAATGTAAATACCAATTGATAATATTTGAGAAAATGCCCAAGATTCAGAGAGAGAGAGAGATGAAAATAAGATTCAATGTCTGAAAACAAAACCATTGCAACCAACTTGTCCACAACTGAAAATGGAATTGTTTTAAGACATGACAGGCAACTTTTTGATTGAAATTTTATGGAGGCTATAAATTCTTTGATTTGGAGGGAGTGGGAAATTAATGTAGAGTTTTGATAGTTAATTTTTAAGTTTAAAACATTTTATTAAAAAAGTTTAACTTCTCCAGGTGATAATGGGTTCCTAATTATAAAAAAGCTGAAACTTGTGTGTGCACAGATAATACACACACTACAGCATTACTTGAATTGGTGGAATTTGTGTCAAAATAATTTGATGGTGAAATAAAATGGCAAACTTCAAATCAGGACAGATAAATTCACTTTTGGATTTCCTCATTAAATTCAAAGGAATTTCCATTTTAAATGAAGTAAATTCCACAACCAAAATAGTTTCTGTCCTGAAATCTCAAGACATACACATAGTGGTTGCAATTGTAACTTTGTGGTTGTTTCTTCAAGTCACAAAGGAAAACAGATTATTTTAAAGTAAAAATGATAAAAGCAAACATACAAAGTTTATCCACAATTTCACAACACCTACCAAGGAAAGCTGTTGTCAGAAATTGATGCTCTTTACTATTTAATTGTACTTGAGAAGGTGAGATATCACTATCACAATAAATCTGTTTTGATAACTTGTAGTGGACAAAAATAGTTGCATATCTGTCATTGGCTCCAGAAATTGGTGATTGAGCCCTGGTTAAAAAATTAGGATTTTAGATACTGATTTCTGAGCCAAGAAAGTCCTCCATTCAAAGACTGGTGCTACACTATCTTTTCTATTTCACCCTCAACATCTAGCCTTGTGAAATGCAAAGCTATATTTAGAAAATATCATGAGAATTTATACAAAATTTTAAATACTAATTTCAATTTACATCATCTGGAGAAAATTTGAGATTTGGTTGTCAAGAGCATGAGTGTAATTCATTAGAAGTAAATTTTCTATAAGCAAATAACATTGAAAATTCTTGTCTTAGTTTTATTTGTATAAAGAATAGAAAATATCTTTGAGTTTATGTATCATGCTTTATGATGCAAAAGGCAATGAAACAGACATGCAAAAATGTGCTGAAAGATAATGTTTATCATTTGAAATCTTCCTTAAATGAAAAAACAAAAAGAAATGAATGTTATTAACAAGTAACAATCACGTTCAGAGCAAGCCAGCTGAGCAATTTTCATATTTTTTTTTTGTTAAATTTCCCCAATTCCAGAACAAGGGAAATATTTTCAGGGTTGCTAAAAAGGTTTGCTTTTTTCTTTTGTGTGCATTTAGGGTTTCTCTGAAATGTGCTTACCATGCAAAATGGAAATTAATATCTAGGATAAAATCTTTAATATTTTTATGTTAAACTATCGAACACAGATCTTTGTTTATGCCAAGCAAATCAGAACCTGTGTAAATATGAAAGCACAGAATTTAGTGGATGAGAATCTCAAAATTGATGTGTATATTTGATAACAATAAGAGGATACATGATGATGATGAGGATGACAGGTTATGGAAATTTCTCAACCTGTGAAATGATGTTTCAGAAAAATATTCAAGCACCAAGAAGAACCATTAATGATCCTAAGATTTGCTGTTGAAGACATTCAGGGAAAATGATTTGTAATAGAAGACTTGGGCCCTAAAACTCAAATCTGTACAAATATAATCTTTGGGTTTTGTTGAGGGCTAATCCTATATTTCTGGGAAAAATATTAAATCATTTCAAGGTATAGAACTCTGGTGAATAGTGGAATTTTAGAATGCCTGTTTTCGTTAATTACCAAATACAACCTAAATCCTCTTTGGAGGACTAATTTTTGCTCAGAGAGGAAGATTATAGAATGGTGTAAATATAAACTGCTTTATTAGCTCTTATTCAATTTATTTTAAATCGAATATTCAAAACTGAACAAATAATGAGTCAAGACTTAAATATGTAAAATATAGAATTGTCAGGATGAGTATGTTCTTGCAAACTAGTCAAAGCAGGTTCAATTTTCACTGAAATATAATCGTAAGCAAAGTTTGGCTTTGTGAGATTGGAATACTGAACATTTAAGAAGAAAAGAAATCAGCGAAATCAAAGCTGGTTTTGAATGTGATTCAAAGTGTATGTTATAATGAAATTTAAGAAATTATTCATGTACTTCAGTATATGTCTATATTTCTGAGATGAGGTATTATGTATACTATTTACATTGCTCGGACTATCATCCTTGTCTTTGTTGCTATATTTATCACAACGTTTCGGTCATTGTATGCTTTGGCCTTCTTCAGGTGGTTGGAATGTCAAACTGAACCCTTTATTTCACTTGTGGGGGTAGACTGTTCTAGTTCCACATGCCATGTTTAATGGATGTCAGTTATCTCCTGTTAATTCCCCTCTCCAAGTTCTCCACCACCTTAACCAGGTATTGAACTCACACTATTTGGGTTCTGTCACTGGATATAACTAACACTTTTATCCACTGTGCCAAGTGTCCTTGAGGACACATGGCACATGGAGAGGTGAATTAACAGGAGATAATTGCTGCCATCCATTAGACATGGCATATGGAACTAGAACAGTTTACCTCAGCAAGCAAAATAAAGGGTTCAGTGCAACATTCCAACCATCTGAAGAAGGCCAGAGCATACAATGGCTGAAACGTAGTGATAAATATGGCAACAAAGATGAGAATTATAGTCCGAGCAATGTAAATAGTGTATTGATGTACTTGTTGATTATTTCATAAAAGAAAGTCTATTTTCTATTTTAGGGCTGGTCCTTATGACTAATCTTGTTTTCAAGAAATTTTTCTCCAAAAAAATTAAAAAAAACCCAAAAAAACAAAACTAAGAGAGAGAGAAATGAAAAGCATTTGACAGAAAAAAAGCAAAAGTCATTTTGTGCTACTGTTTCTGAAACGTGCAAACAATGTAGTTTGTCTGGTCTAAGAAATTTTGCAGACAATCAACAAAAATGGACAACAAACTGGAAATTATTCAAACTTGTATCCTCATTTTTGTTTTTAATCACAATATTTTGGCAGATAAATTCTTCCTTACTCAGGTGTGAGTTGAATTTAATTCTTTAGGGTCACCAACTGCTTCTCAAGATAGAATGTACTAAGCAGTATTCAAGAATTACTTAGACACAAGTTACACCTGAGGAGATTTGGAGAATATACCGACCCAAATAATGGGATAAAAACAACAAAGATGAGGATACCCTTTTGGATAATTAATGAAATAATGAAAGTATTTCATTTCAGAATGTTAAAGATAAACAGTGATAAGGTGGCGATCAAAAGAATGTGAAGAGACAAAAAGAAAGTCTTGTTCAACATATTTTACAGAAATGGCAAAAAGACAAAAAAAGCTGTGGCAAAAAAGTCGTTATTGCGGTGATGACTGTTTGCAGTGATTTATATTGTTACAATGAAAAACACCCCAAAATCTAGATTTGGGAGAGTAGTAATAAGTGTGAATACAGGAACAAATGGAATTGAGGTGTGGAGGAAGTAAATTATCAAGAGATAAAAGGTCAAAGGTTGTGGCAGTAGGATAGTGTGGCTCATTGAGCTGCTGACGAGACTTCAAACAGAAACAAAACTGGAATCTAGAAATTTTGTCTTTGAGACTTTAAAACCGTTTTCATTTTTAAGAACTCTTTTCCATTAGGGTTCAATCTGTATTTAACTATTTAAAATAAAAAATAAAAATAAAAAAATACGACAGAAATCCCAGATCATACCTGTTCATCATACTGTTCAGCATACTCCAATAAATCTGCAGTCTGAAAAGAAAAAAAAATAACTCTGTAATAAAATATTTAAGCCGCTTTTTCACATTAGTTGAGAAGATACTAGTCAAATATTTAGCCTTTCAAATGTTAACATTAGAAATTATAGAAAATAGATAAGTTTAAAAATATAGCTGTAAGCTTTTTAAACATTCAAGTAAATAAACACTGTACTTCTGTAAGTTGGATGCAAGCTGCTGCTTCTTTTAGATGCCACGTCACTTTAGGTCATGGGCAATCATGTAGAACCATATTCTGTTGCCTAAAGTCTCTTCATCTGTGAGAAGATTGTCCAGAATTCACTGCCATATAGGAGGGCATACTTCATAACAGTTCAGCACTTATTTGTTTCTTATGAAATTTTCCTGTTACTTAATACTTGGCTTAGCTTTTGGGAGACATCATTCACTATTTCAATCTGGGTTCTTGTTAAGGAGATAAAAAGACTTGAGAGATCTGTGAATATCACAAACACATGAGTGAGACTGAAAAACATATCTGCCAAAATGTTAAAAACAACAAGGAGGAAGATGCTTTATGCAAATACATCTTTGTAAAACTTCAGATGAGATGAAAACCAAATGATGGTTTTTAAGTTTTACCTTATATTTTAATTATGTTGTCTTTCATCACAGTCATTCTTGATTGAAGACATCAACTGCCAAAAAAGGCATGAAATGGGAATAAAGTAATGGTTTCTAAAGAATCTTAAAGTTGAATCTCTTGTCCCAAGTGCCTGTTTTCAAAAGATGCTGTAATCAGTTCATCTTTGAATTCAAATAATTGAAGACAAAGTCTTTAAAAAAAAAAAAAAAAAGTACTAAAGGAGGGCTTACCTCTTTCATGGGGACTTTGAGTTTCAGCAGTTCAGCATATCGACGTAGAACATCAAATGGAGCATGAACCTTCATGAAGTGTACGTCAGGGTCACTCTGAAAATTATGTAAAACAGACAAGATAGAAACAGAGTTTGTTTATATCAAATGAAAAAAAAATTTGTAGGATTCAGTTTTTATTCTATTTTTTCTAGATTTTATTCATTTTAAGGTTTTTTCATTTTTATTTTATTTGGAACTAGCTTAAAAGCCACACTCCATGCAGACTTTTAAGCTAACTCCTGTGGAGTAGCTAATTAGGTCTCTGGCCCAAAATTATAGGGACCTCTGGTCCAGTTTGGAAAATAGCAATGATAATTTTGAAAAAATAACTCAATTTACTTCATGGAACTTCAAAATCTTACTTTAACTCTGATTTAGGCAAAAAGACCAATTTGATCCAAAACTCTGATTTGGGTGAAAAATTCCAATTTAGGCTGAAAATTGAGTTCTTCAAATCAGAAATTCCATGGAACTTCAATTAAGTTGAGTTCTTTAAATCACAAACTTTGCAGAACTTCAAAACTTCATGTCACGAAACCTCTCACTTTAACTCTGATTCCTTGAAAAACATAAAATTGATTTCCTCAATTCAAAGTTTTGGATATATTTTAAACTGAATTTAAAACAATATTTTTTTTAAATTCACAATGTTTTTTATGTTACTTTAGATTTAATATAAATTAAAAACTTAAAACCACTAACTTTTTTTTTCAGTTATTTTAAAATTTGAATTTTTAACTAATCTCTCCTCATCTGGACAGAAATCCCAATGTTCGATGTTCAAATACCAGATGAAGGGCAAATTTTTAGTCCTGGGATCATCCTGATTCCAAAAAGTTATAATATGTCTATGTAGAGCAAATGTGGTCAAAGTTAAAAGGATTTAGGACACATGGATGGACAAACAGGATTTGCTGTTTATTTATTTATTTTTTTTTGATTTAATATTTGCCAAATCAGATTTTGCTAATTGCTGTCAAAAATCTAAATAAGTCATATTCCAAAAGATTCTATTGACCTCTTAGGTGATGAATTTTCTTTTAATTTTCAAAATTTCTTTTATATAGAAATATCTGTAACATGTTGTAGTAAGAATTTTTCTATAGATTAAAAAAAATATATAGCATATGGGGAAAAAAAAAAAAAAAAATATATATATATATATATATATATATATATATATATATATATATATATATAAAAAAAAAAATAAAAAAATTCAAAAAAAAAAATTTTTTTTTTTTTTTTTTTGAATTTGTAGGTCTGATGATTTGGATCGTATTTACGATTCCAATGGAATAAATTATGACCATGGAATATTAGTGTTTAAGCCTTTTTTATTATATCCTTACTCTGTCCTAGACATTGAGTTATACCTGGATCCTTCCTCTTGGAAAATTTTTTCTGAAAATATACATGTATGGGAATTTTTTTAGATATATTTTTCATATGTATGTATATTTTCCACTAATATTATCAATATCTATATATATATATATATATATATATATATATATATATATATATATATATATATATGTGTGTGTGTGTGTGTGTGTGTGTATGTATATATATCACTTAATTTATAATGGGGAAAAAAGGGTTTCTCAAAGTCAGCAGAAAAAGAATTTTGGCAAATCCATATTTAAAACTAATAATTTTATCTAAAACTATTTTTTTAAGTAATATAAGCAAAACTATGAATCACTAAAAAGGTTTAAACTACAATGTTATTAGCTTGCATTTGTGTTGAAATGATGAAATCATGAGTTGCATAATAATAAAAGGGTGAAAGCTGAAAATGATTTTACAATAAACTTTCAAATTATTTTCACTAAATGAATAAGTGTTTTGTAAAGCATGAATTAACATTTTTCTATTGCTATTTTAAAGAAGAATATATTGATAAATGATCAGGAAAGAGAAAATCCTTTGATGAAAATACCACTTACTTTGTCTTCTTCTAATTCCAAGAATTCTTTCTTCAGGTTGTTATAGAAAGTCAATCTTGCTGTTTCAGCTTCCATCATTTTCTTGCCTGTTGTCTCCCAAGCCAAAATGTAATCGATTCTTCGGACACCATCATCAAAATAAAGTTGTCGACCCTGGAAAAGAAAGGAAAGTAATCAAGAGAAATATCATTACCAATGCACTCAATGTACAAGTTAAAACTTTATAGGTTCATAAAAAAGGTTTTTTTTTATCTTTCCATCTTGAATAAGGTGATAAAGCCACTAAGGTGCAAAGGGATACTGTGTGAAAGAATCTAAGAAAAAAAACATTATGGAGAGAGGACAATAAAAGAACAAGAATTAAGACAAAAGAGGATGACCAACATTGCATTTTTTTTTTTTAAGATCCAAGTTGATTGGAAAGCAAGAAGCTAGAAGAAAGTTCCACAAGTGAGAAGTGCGAGAAATCTAACTTAGCATAGAACATATGATTATATCTAGCAATTTCAACTGCAAAATGATAAGACCTAGCTACCAATCTAGTACTGCACTTAATTTGTAATGTCAAGGTATGAAAGAGGAAAGAATATTTCCATGAAAATATTTATAGAAAAGGCAGAGGGAAGCTACATTATAATGGCAGTGGGAAAGTGACTGAAGTAGAGATACCAGATCAAGGTTAATATCATTGCAGATACTTCTTTGAATTTTGGCAAGAATCTCTAGATACATAGAAGTACCACTTCAGATGTGGCAGCAATATTCAATAAGCACTAATAATTTTGCACCTAGGGTTACTGTTTTGGTGGCCTTGCCCATGTCTCACCATTGCTCCTAGAGGAAAAGTGTATCTGCCTTCACAATCAGTATTCAAAAAATATATATCTGCACTTCGAGAGAAAGAGAAAAAGAGAAAGAGAGAGAAGCATTCAATCCAAACACTTTAATATGAAAATAAAAAGAGTTACTGTTTTTTTTTTAAAAGGCAAACTACTCCAAAGTGACTGAAAGATCAGTGCTGAAAATTGGTCACGCAGAAAGTATGAAGATCAGAATGTTACAAAGAAGGCGTCAACATGAAATCATTGATGAGCTTGGAATACCAAGGATCTGTGTAGTGATGAAAAAGAAGTATTTTACAAGAATATTAAGCGAGTCAAGCAATGACTTAATAGAGAGTAACAAGTGGAAACACAATTCAAAATGGGCCTCCATCCAAGGAAAGTCTTGGTTAAGCATTTAGTGTAGGGCAATATGAGTTTTTTTCTTTTTAAAAATCAGGCAATGTTATAAACACAGAACACATCAATTTATATCAGTAGTTACAGTGTTTAATGAAAGCAATGAAAGAAATGGCAATACATAACGTCATCTAGCAAAGATCACATCTGAAATGATATCTGAAGCTTTCAGTGAGAAAGAATATCTCATTCCTTCTTACTTGCTTCATCTGATTATATGATGCTTACAAAATCATCTTTTTGGAATAATTCTTAAAATGCATGAAGTTTGTTAATCATTAAAAAAAAAAGAGATTATTTTAATGAATGCTCCTTAATAGGGCAAACATTTTTTTACTAACCCATTCCCAAAAGTGTTTAAAGTTTATTGATATTAAAAGTTGAAACTTGCAGATTTTATATTATGGAAAAAAAAAAAAATATATATATATATATATATATATATATATATATATATATATAATTCCTAAGTGATGCACCAACAATTTAAGACTTTTTGGCTTCATCATAAAAAAGAAATGAAGAAATCATTTGTCTGAAGTTCCTTATTGGAACAAAATGCATCACTTAAGAATTCTCCATTTTGTCATGGACTAACCCACATTATATATAAGTAATAAAATATACAAAGATGTACATAGATATGGCATGAAATAAATATTAACTGTCAACATGAAGAGGGAACAAGAGAGGTAGAAAGAGAGAAGAGAAGAAAAAAAAAATTAGCCTGGATACTTTTTTTGTATATTTTTCCCCTCTCTCTAATGTTTCTGAGAAGTAGGTGTTTTTTTTTAATTTATAACTACACAATGTGAACATATCCAAAGTTCAAAAGTCATTTTATTTTAATTAAATTCAAGATTATTAATTATAACTTTTTCTAATTCATTGGCATGAAAATTTGAGGATGCAAAAGCCAAATATATAAGCAAAATTTCATGATTTCAAATATATATATATATATATATATATATATATATATATATTTATATATATATATATATATATATATATATGCTCAATATTTTTTTTTATATATATATATATATATATATATATATATATATATATACACACACACACACATACTCAATCACTTGACTTAAAATATTTTTGCCCTTCCTTGCCTTTAAAGGAGTGCCCTTTGCTGTGCTGATGTTGCTACATGCCTTACTTCTTGCCTATCTCACACTGCAAATTTTTTCTAAGCTCTATACTAAACATTAAATCTGTTATGAAAAAAGAACTAAACAAAATGAACACAAAATGATCAGCTTTAAAAAAGGACTCGTAACTGGAAAAACTGAATGAAAAAAGAATGTTAAAAACAAATACTTTTTCACACCCAACTCAGAATCAGAATCAACATTGAGTTTAAGCAAGTGAATGAGCCAATTGGTGTAAAGTGCCATGCAGATTTAAATTTTTCCCCACTTGTGACAAATACAGCTATCGATTTTTTTTGCATGCTAGCATGCTAATTAACATTCATGTCAGTCAGCTGTTGGCTCTCACGCTGGCCAATAGAATCTTCCTGTCTATTCGTGGTAGCCAGCTATAGGCTCTCACTCTGGCCAGTAGAAAATGGCCGCAAACTACATGAAAACTGCCATAGAAACATGAAAAAAATCAATTATTTCCACGATCGATGGAAGTTGGGAAATGCAAAGTCGGTCTTGGCCTTCCTGCTAACTTGGAGCATGTGCATTTGTTACACACACACACACACATCCTGCCTTTTATATATATATATATATATATATATATATATATAAATAAATGAACTTGATGTTTTTCATAAATGCTATCTTTGTTCAATATGCAGGTATACACAGCTGGTGTACAAAATCTCTAACCCTCATCTTTTCCTCAAATGTGGCATCAGTGGTATTGAATCCTTTCTGGTGCAATCGCAGTTCAGATGGGCTGGTCATGTCATCAGAATGAGTGATGATCGGATGCCAAAAATCCTCATATACAGCCAACTTTTTCATGGTAAGCATAATGGAGGTCGTCCTTGGTTACGTTTCAAGGACAAACTTAACTACAATTTAAATGCTGCAACCCTATAGTGGAGTTCAAATTTGCTGTTGAAAACTGAGCAAACTGGAGAAACACCTGTTACCTGAGATATAACTAACTTTGGAAAGAATCGTCTTAACCATCTGAGAGAATTAACACTAAATCTCAGGCTAATACATCAACCTTTCAGCATGTCTCTGGTGTGGACTTTGCAAATCCCATGCAGGATTGTTGTCTCATACGAAACATAAACATAAAAACTGAACTGAAAGACACTCATATTTTGAAAATGACAGGAGGGTCCATCACATATGCACAATATTTTCTTATATATATATATAAAATAAAAATGAATATAAAATATGGCACATTGAATGCTGATGCTAATAGTGCTTGGTGTATAATAACAGAACTATAATATATAATAATCTATATCTATAATTCTCAAAGCATGTGTGAGAGAGAGATCGAGATCGATGTTGTTTATTCTTTTCCAGTTTTCATCAAATTTCGATGGAATTTATTTTTGTTTGATAGATAATTCTTCAGTGCCGGTTTAAAGTCCAAATTTGGCTGGAAAAATTCACCTTGAAGGTGAAAAAAATCAAAGGCAAAATTTAATTTACTTTTTCATACATAACCTTCCAATCCTAGCTCATGCTGAGTGGGCGTGATTCACACCTCCACACATTGCTCATCAGTTGCTGCTGACCTTGATAATTAGTGCGTGCAGCAATGCATGTACATGTGGCCCTGCAACACCTGCTGTGATGCATACATACATGCATGACCTGCAGAATGTGACACCTGCTTGAGTTGCCCATTGACTGCACAAAGCCCAATGTCCAATCAAATGTTGCCGTGTCATACAGATTGTCTATGCAGTCCTAAGCTCATTGCTACCGCTTAATTCTGCTTCTGTATGTCCAGCTCTGCTTACACATTACCCTTCTCTTGCCCAAGCAATCATACTCTCTCAAGTGAGCTTACCTTTTCTGTTGCATAAAGCATACTACTACAGTTTTAAGGTATTGCTTTCATTGTTGTTTATAGCCATTCCAAATTTAAATCTTTTTATTGTCCTGCTAGTCTTTGCATTGCATTCACCATAGTAATAAGTAAGCTTGCTTTTTTATTACCAAACATTTATTTTTCCAACCTTTCCTAAAGTTATTCAAGTTTAGTGATCCCTGTAGCTTTACAGCATTCTCTTCTGGTATTTGCCCACACATTCCATTTGACAATTCATACTTGCCTAAGACATGCCACCAAAGAAAAGAACTTCCCTAGATTGCAAAACCACTGCCACCAGGTCCCCCATGTGAATAAGAGATAACAAATCCTCTTTAGAATGTTCAGTTCGCCTGTCTTAAAATACCTTTCGGAATGCTTCAATCAGAGCTACTGAGTCTGAAGATCAACATAGCCATTGGCTTTCCAGAAGAGCATACCTGAACGCTTTTGCGCGTGAGGCTGAAAATGATGATCAAAAAGACAATGACTGAGAAGAAACGCCTCTTTAACTGCTGCTGTGCATGAGGCTGAAACAAGATTGAGAATGCAAAAATGGCCTTTTTCAGGGCCACCCTCCATTCAAATTGTTGTCACCCCCCACAATTTGTGCCTCAGTTGCACCCAATTTTTGTTAGTAATATTGATTTTTGGGTGGGCTGACTTTAAACTTAAAAATTCCCAGTAATGAAAGACCCGGTCAAAGATGGGTTATACTGCTAGTAATAAATATACATTTTTATTAAGTTTTGCTAAATTCTCATTAGAGCCCAAGTTGCACATTTACAAATCTACCATTCATCTGTGCATTGAATACTTTTGCTATATTTGATCTGGTGCTCCTGCTACTCATTGTGAAGTTCACAAAAAATCCAAAGAAGGATCTGCAATATAAGCAATCCTGACTTGGCATCTTGACTTCAGTCACTTTCTCACCAATGTGACGTGGCTTCCCTCTGTTTTTTCTACAAATATTTTCATGGCAACTGCCCTGACAAGCTTTTTACACCTGGCACCCCGAATACAGGAATTTAAGTGTGCTGCTATATTGGCATCTAGGTCCCACCCTTTTACTGTTGAATTAGTTATATGTAACTGGCACTTCTACTCCAACAGTTTCTTTTCTCACACTTCTCCCCTGTGGAACTCCCTTCCATTTCCTTGCTTCCCTGATAACTACAATCTGCAAATATTTAAGTGCAATGTCAATTGCCTTCTTCTTTATTCTTGAACCCTGTTCAGCTTTTATCCTTTCCTCAGTCCACCCTATACCCATTCTTTTCTCTCACCTTCATTTTAATCCCCTGCATACCAGTGGCATTCCCACATTGCTTGGTGTGAAATGATTAAAGAATAAAATAAAATAGAATAAAAAATTTAAAAAATCAGTCAACAAAGTCTAAAGTTTAATTTTTTATTTCCAATTTTTGAATAAGATGTTGCATTTTGGGATAAAAATTATGGATAAATGCTCCAAAATTCATGTTTTCTTCTGTTTTTGTTGAAGTGGAGTTCATTTCAAAGGCTTTTTTATTTTTTTTATTTCATGTATATGATGTTGATATCTCAAATGTATATGGTAGGCTGGCCAAAATTATATAAAGGGTGTTCCAATAACTAGGACCGATTTTAAATGTGAATTAAGTTTAAGTGTTTAATGATTTTTTTTCTTTTTCTTTCAGATTTAAACTTAAAATCTTTGGCAATTTCAACTATGGAAAAATTAACAATCAAACAACATGGTAAAGTTTTAAGAGTGCAATTGGAAAAATTGCTTGTAAATTCAAACAAACAAGGTCAGTGGCAGATGTGAAAACACCATTGTGTGTTCATTTATGCTATTCAGCTGAAAACATTGCTGCAGTGCATGAGAATGTGGCCAAAAATCCAGACACCTCTATATGTCATCATGCACAGGAATTGAATCTCTCCACAATAATGTTACATCGTTTCCAATTGCACTCAGTCGGTCAATTATGTTGACAAAAAAAAAAAAAAAAAAAAATCACAATGTGTGTGAAATGCATTTCTGTTTGAATGCCCAATTTCATAATAGGCTTCGATAACTTTAACGTGTTGTTTAATTGTTAAAAAGAAAATAATCATTAGACGCTTAAACTTAATTCACATTTAAAATCGGTCCAAGTTATTGAAAAACTATATATTACAGTGAAACAGTCTGTCTGTGGATGATATATATATATATATATATATATATATATATATATATATATATCCTGAAAAAATTTATTTCAGTTGAGCTCTCTGGGGAGGAAGTGTGGGTTTGTAAACAGTGACTATTACGGCTAATAATGCAAGACTCTTCAGTAAACCGAATTGAGTTCTCTCAGTCACTGTGTTTTTATCTAAAAATAAATATGCTTAAATTCACCTTCATCCTTTCTGTGTGCCAACAGCTTAGTGGTAAAATCCTCGACTAATGCCAATTCAGTTGGGTTTCAATCCTAGCTAGGATTTTATGTAACTGATGAAGAAGTTGATTACTAAAACTAACCACTGATTCCCAAATTGTCAGACATGGTTTGGAATTAGGTGTGAGCAAGGAAATCCTTGTAAGGATCACCTTGGGTGTGAGGCATTATTCTTTGAATATTGAAAAATCTGAATGTTTAAGATCTTAAAAATTATACAAACACTATAATAGCCTTTATACAACAACTGAATGGTAAAATATTTTATTTTTTTAAGGAATACAATATTTTAATGACTTAAGTTTTAATAAAATTGGTTCCCCACCTCATTAATTTTGTTGTAACCTAGGGAAGGTTACTGAATAGAATAATCACATGAAGGTTGGCAATGAACGATAATACTTAGGACACGAACAACACATATAGGATTCACCAGTGGCATGTAGAAGAAGTAGTCAACTGCTAGAAGTGAATTCCACAATGAATCTCCAACTGCAGGAGATCTACCAACCACTCCACATGGTCAGATATGGCACAAGGCTAAATTTAATGTGGACTATCCGAGCCTGTAGACTCGGTCAAAAATTCCCTGTAGACCCCATATAAAACTGGGTTGTGTAGCTGTTTCCCGAGACGAGACTCTGCCCTTTGACATAGCCTCATCTGGGGATCCTCTTTACTCAGTACTCAGGGGTAGAGAGTTTGACCAGCACATCTGTAGACAAATCTTCAACTGCAGACCAACATGCAGTATTTACAACTGTATTTATGTGAATGGGAACATACCCATTATCGTCCATAGATATGCTACAACAACTTTTTATAAAGATAAAGCAACCATGTTTCATTTTCACCATTTTGATTTTGGGGAAAATAAGTAACAACTGTAATGTGCAGCTACTGTGAGCCAAATTCAAATTCAAGCCATTTGCATTCACTTTTGGGAAAGGCATACATCCATCTCTTCTTCTCCAGTTTATGGGTTAAAGAGCGGGGTAAAGTGGTCTCTGTAGTCTTAGCTTGGCTACCAATCTAGGAGGACAACTTTGAATTCAAGATTGTTAAGAAAACAACAGGAAACCACTTCACTATTTCCCTCCAAGAAATTATGACAATTTACTAATTAAATTATTAAAGAAAAAATTAAAAACTAAGATAGGAGCGCCATAATCACTTATGTGCTAAAAGGACAAGGAATAATAAAAACATTTTTTTTTAATTGTTAAAAATAAAACATTACAAATAAAAATTATACCATGTGGGTCGTGCATAAAGGGTCTAGACTACCACATGGTAAAAATACAAGATAAAATTTAGTCTTTTTAATTAGGTTAAAAATGCCTCTTTTTGAAAGTGATTTTTGCACACTTATTTTTTTTATGTGAAGAATTAATGTCTTGTGAAATGTGTGAAGGCAGGATTTGTTTGTTTTGTTTTTTCCCCTTCATAATTATTGGTAAATGACTTTCCAATAAGTGGAAAATCATCGATTTAGAAAAAAAAAACAAAAAAAAAACAGAAAGTGGACTTTTGAGTGTGTAGCTGACGTTACGTGTAACTGTAGTCATGATGAATAATGATTTTTTTTTATTGGTTTATTATTCAATCTTACATCAGAATTCATGACCGTTTTAAACACTTGACCGAAAACAGTGGAATTAATAAAAAATAAAAAAAAAAAAAAAAAAAAAAAAAAAAAAAAAAAAAAAAAAAAAAAAAAAAGCAGAAAAAAAAAAGAAAAAGAAAAAAACAGAAAAAAAAAAAAAGAAAACTGAAATTCTACTCTCGGCGAGATTCCTAGAAAGCTTAGTGAATAAACTCGGGTTTCATAGTATATTATTATATTTACACTTTAGCAAGGTAAATAAAAAAAAAATTCAATCGCCTGACAAGGGGGGCAAGTGCTTTCGATGTGTGTAGGGGGGGTCAGAATTGAGTTTTCCGATTAATAAACATATATGACACATTGAGTGCTGTTGCTAATAAAATAGTGCTCGAGGTATAATAACAGAGCCAGAGAAAAATATTTTTTAGTTTTATGCCCAACGCAATCAGCACTTGACGATTGCGTTGTCAAAGTTGTTGCTACCAGTGAGGAAAAAGAAAAGTGTATATTTATTTTTAGAGAGAGAGAAAGTGAAGGAGAGTTAAGAAAAAATATTTCCTGGATCAGATCATTAATAAAAAAAGAAAAGAAAAGTAGATGAATCACTATAGAAGAAAAAAAAAATATGAATTGCCCATGTTTATTACAAGTTGGCAACAAACCAAGGTAAAATTTGGCAAAGAAACAAAAATAAATAGGGTCTTCTTGACTCTTACCTGTTCAGTGTCATCAAAATCCTGGTAATCCAAAGCATTTTCTATATCGCCCATAATATCTGAAGAAGAAATAACATCGAGACATTGAGATGACTGTTCACGACTTTCAGCTTTAACAAGTTCTTCCCGACTGGAAGAAGAGCGATTGAGAAAAAATTCATGAGACATTGTCCTTTTTTTTTTTCCTTTTTATCTGTCACGTGTAACCATTCTACAAAAATAATTGCTTTGTTTTTCCCCCCGAGGGAGAATCTTTTTAAATTTAATTTAAGCGCATAAAGAAAGAAAGAAACGTTTTTCCATTGTCACTTGTTGAAAAAGAAAAGACAAAGTTGATTTTCTGGTTTGAAATTCGAGTTCGTTTGAGATTTTTATAAGTTATTGTTTATCTTTTTTCTTTTTTTTCCTTGTATTTTACTTTTAGGATTATTCTTCCCTCGACGATGTACAAGTGAAAGGCCGATTTATGACTTCAATTCACTCGTACGTCTTGTCATGGAGCAGGTTAACAGCGAGAAAGAAACGAAGAAGAGAAAAGCCGGAAGATATTTTTGAAAACTGTAACAAAGATGATAAAAATCGAAGAATGGAAAATGCTTAGTAGAGCCGTTCGGAATCATACAACCAGGTCCAGATATAGAGAGGGGTTGAGAATCGACCAGAGTTGGATTAGGGGAGTGAGAATGAGAGGATAAATTATGTGATTTTTTGTACATCAGAAGTCAAATATTGTAACAGAAGAGAACAAATAGTAGTAAATTATTTATTATTGTTTCTTTGTTTAATAAACCTGGCGTAAGGCCAGCAAAGAAGCTCTGTTCTAATTTCATTTTTTTATGGAGTGGGGAAGTGTCACCTACATTTAAAAACATTGAGAAAAAAAAATTCAATACTAGGTATTATGTGCTACGCTAATAATATCTATGATGAATAAATAAAAATGAAAAGAAAATACTCCTGACGTCCCCACCCCAAGAAGTCGTTCGGGGTAGTACGCACCGGTCCTGTATCCCAAGTCAACAAAATTTGACATTTCATTAATTTTGCCCACCTATCCTAATTTAAAAAAAAAAAAAGAAAAGAAAAATACATACATCAAGTATTTATGGGGGGGGGGTCAAACATTCACGGGAGGGGGGTCAAACATTCACGGGGGAAGGGGGGGTCAAACATTCACGGATTCACGGGGGGGGGTCAAACATTCACGGGAGGTGGGTGTTCAATAGCTTATTTATTTTGTTTTAAACATCATATAGGTTTTTTTTTTAATTAATAAATATAAAAAAAAAATTATTAACATTTCAAACCAACTCCATGACATTAAAATTCTGAATATTTATGATGTTATTATTTAACTTTATAAAATTTGGTAATCATTTTTTTTTGTTTTGTTTTATGAAATTCGAATTTTGGTTATTTTTTTTTTTTTAATTAATCTAAAAAATGTCTGTGCGTGTAACTAGGTAAATTTTACTTACGTACAGAGACATTTTCTTACTTTAGTTAGAAAATATCTTAGTACGGTTCTTCTTACTTTTTAAAGTTATATAACAAGTGTTGTAAACTTAGTTTTCGCTCAAATTCATTCGATTAAAATAAAAACTTAAACTTAGCCAATTGTTATTTTAGTGCGGGGAGACTCGTTCAAGAAAAAATTCTCTTTTTTTAACTTTTTAGTGTTACTGTTACTGTGTTACAACTGGAGAAATTTACTTTAGTTTACAATTTATCGGAAATGTCTTTTAAAAGTGAAAAATGGTTTTAAAAAAGATTTCGAACTGATCAAAGAAAATTTGCTGAAGCGGTACTGGAAAAAAAATTGGGGAATTACTACTTGTATCTTATTAATTTGTCTTTTCACAAGAGTACATTTGATATCTGAGAGTGGGGTCAAACCGTCAAACGTAGACGGGTAGAGGCCAAAATTGTGCAGCATTCCTCAGCACTTCCCTTTTTTTGTTGGTATGTCACAACCGATGTTTGTTGGAAGCAGAGCAATAAATGAATCATTGTTTTTTGTCTTTTATTCTTTAAAATTCCAGAAATATTTCTTTAAAATATTTTTAAATTTCTTCTTTGTACATGTGATACGCTTTTTGTCTTTTACAACCAACAATTTTTTTTTTTACATAAAAATAATCCTTTTAACCAGTTTTTTTAGCATTTTTTTAAAAACTTACTTTTTTCTCGCTCCCCTTTCGTTTGTCCTATTTCCCAACGAATAGCCAATAAATTTCTTTTTGCATATGTTATGAAGACAATCGAATTTATTATTTTAACTCATAATCAAAATTTAGTGAGACAGGAAAAACAACTCAGACAAATTATCTAATGTGAAATAAAATAATTAGTTATTTATCTCTTCTCAACATTACATTCTTGACACAAAAACCCTCTACATAATTTCTGCTAAATTTAAAACTTAAAAATTAAATAAACGACAGATTTTTAATTTAAATTTGCATTTTAGGTTTAGCTAACTTCGTGTCTTTGTTTTTCAAACAGTGTCGTTTTTACCCTTACCAATCGACCCTGTCGTCCTAAGGCTTAGGACGACAGGGTCGATGGTGTGATTTTGCAAGTGGCAGATGATTAAGTTGTATAACTGCTACTTTGTATATGAAGCAGGTTCATCACCCTCTTGTCAAGTGAATACAGTCGGTTTGTCTGTCTCAAAAAGTCTATCAGAGATAAACAAAAAAAAAAAAAAAAAAAAAAAAAGGAAAGATGACTCGCATCATTACTCCCGGACACTTCGACGTTGTTTTAAACAAGCTTGTCTCGCTTAGTGACTTCGACCCTCACTAGATGCTCCATTCTTGTACTCTAATCTACGCATATTAAATCAATATGGCTAGGCAGAAGTATGTTCGTATGAGAAGAAAGCCTGGATAGCACAGACTTTATTCACAGAATGACTGCTGTCTCCCTGCCCACTCATATGCTTCATGTCCATCGTAGTACAAAATAAATAATTAATCAATATTATGATAAATCCAAAACTTGGTCGATGGAGTCATAAAAAGTAGACTAGGCTTGTGATAAAGAGACACAGATCTCATTCTTCTTATGAATCATTTTTACACAGTTACACAATAATTATTGTCGATGTTATTATGCAAGGGATTTTATTTGCTTCTGTGGGATACTCCACCGCCGAAAAAATATTCCTATGAAACCAGAATATATTTTTAAAGAATTTTTTTTATTACTAAAAAGAATTACGTTGTGCTGAGAGAATTGTAATAATTGCTAAAATCTGCGGTTAAAAAAGATCATTCCAATCAATTTAAATTCGTTTTGAAATACAGCAAATTATTTTGTTTTTGGAAATATTAAATTTATTAGCGTGAAATTAAAAATAAAATAAAAATCTTTAAGAAAGATTTTTCATTTTTAAAAATTTTATTTTTAAACCTTAGGTATTGTGTTTCATTGGACGTTTTCCAAAATTTTATTCAAATCCAATAATTGGATTAATTTTTTTGAAGATTTTTAAAATCAACTTGTTTTTATAACCTAAAGGGGTGATCAAACTCCTTGAAGTTGATCCCTCACCCAGTAAGGGAAGACTGGAACGACCGGTGTCCCCAGAACATCATCCAGTGACTGTTTGCATCAAATAAAAAATAATTCTTGGCATATGGAATATCAGAACATTAAATCAAGTTAGAAAATATATAAGCAGGAAATAAACAGGTTAAAAATGTTAATATTTTAGGCATAAATGAGGTGGGCAAACAATGGCTATTTTGTCAGTGACAAACACAGGATTATATACGCAGTAGGAGAGAAAAATGAAAGAGGAGTAGGATTGATATTAGACAAATCAAAGATTTGAAAGAATTCTTGTCGTTATATTCAATACTTCACTAAAAAAAAGAGTATACCCTGATGAAAAAAAGGCTCCAAATTTGATTAAACAAATTTTTATCGTCTAAATATTTATGCTATTATTAAGAGGAAAGACCAAAGTATTTTTTGAATATTTCTGTAAATTTTTTTTAATCCTCTCTAGTACATCAGAAATTTTAGCTAAAATCTTTTTTGAGCCATCAAAATTTACAAAAAATCAATCATGTCAGCCATGTATTGACAGTTTTGTAAACAAAATTGAAATTCACCGTTTAAAAATCTTGTAAAATTCAATTATACTTTTTTCAAAAGTTATTTTAGGAAAATTAGAAAATTTAAAGTATACTTAATGTAATTGGAATCAAACATTACTTAATTTTTTAGCAGAAAAAATAGTTGGAAATAAGAGAAGCATGTTTAACCGTGATCACTGGTTTTGAAGGTTTGAATTGACGTTAACGTCAATGTATCGACTACTAACGTCAGGGCAATTTATCGAACGGAAGGACAGAAGTGACAATATTTTCGAATTTTAAGTGAACCTGCTTATTTAACTATAAAGTAATTCTTAAAATCAAATACTTTCACTTTTATTGATTTTTAGGTACTTTTTTTTTTTTTTTTAACGAAGATATGTCTAAACCAGGTACCGTTTCCGTCCCTAGTCAAATCGAATCTAAAAAAAAAAGATTGCTGTATATCTCACACTGAAAAAAAAAATGATTGTATTTAAAAAAAAAAAAAAAAAAAAAAAAAAGTGAAATATGTAAAAAAAAATTTGAAAATGCGACGATCATGATCGGTCAGTCAGAGAATTTGATACGAAATCAACGTAATTTTTGAACCAGGATCCTCACTATCGGGAAAAACAACTCTAGCACACGTGACATTATTTCAGAATTGTGCTTCCGTAGTTTTGTCGGAGACGATTTTAATACATTTTTGGCATATTAAAAATTATTTTAAAAATAGAATCGCTTCGCAGATTGTAATAAGCTTTCAAATTTATGATCTGTAAAAATATATCTTTTAATAAGAGCATTTCCAGAGATGTTCGTATACAAACTTAATTTTAAAATATCTAACAAATTTATCACATTTTGTATTTAAAATTGAAAAAAAAGAAAACAATTCTTGTAAAAATTCATTTTTCATCAAAAAATATTTTGGTTTTGGATAAAAATATCCTTAATATATATTATTC